TTATACTTTCTGTTTGAACTTAACAGTTTGTACAAGGTGAAAGAAGCAAGGGAAGAGGGGGGTTATATGGTTGCTCTGCTACTGGGATGGGCAGGGTGGCTGATAATTTCCTCCTGCTCAATAGATTTGTGTCAAGGTGTCATGTAGATGTATAGGCAGACACAGTGACTATCTGATGGTTTCTTTTAGACACCTTGAGATATTTGGTGGTTTACAAATGGTTTCGTGTATGTCATGTTAAGTTCAGGAGAGATGGCAATATAGAGTAGTGGCAGAAACATCCAAAAAGGGGAGAATCAGTGGCAATAGGGCAAACAGGACGTGCTAAGCTAAGTATTCACACTCTAAAGCAGCCAGGATTTCTCTACCCTGGTCACTACCTAATACCATTTAAACCAGTAATACATTACTTTTAACTAAATTTAGGCTGCAGTAGATTCCATACTTGCCTCATCTGAGTTTGTGGCTAACCTTTCTCTTATTCCTGTCTCACTCGGTATTGTCTTGCCTAAGCAGATGATGAATTAGTTGAGGAAACCCCAGAGGAAACAGAAGTCCAAACTCAAGGAGAAAATGGAGCTCTGTGTGGCAAGAAAGGCAAAATTGGAAAGAAAGGCCATGGTCAGCAACATGGGCCCCCCAGCCAGAATGTCCAGGGAGGCCAGGAAACCTCACACGGCAAAGGCGGCCAAGGGGGTTGTCCAAAGAGGTCAGGACTGCCAGGATGGCCAGGGTGGCCAAGGTGGCAGGGGTGGCCCTGGTGGCCAGAGAGGCCAGCATGGAAGAGGTGGCCAGGGTGGTCAGCCCAGTGGCCAGTGAGGAGGAAACCAACTAAAGATGGTCTTCAGTGATTCCATAGGTATTCATTATATATTATTCACTAATCTAGTGAATTTCTCCTTAAATTCTTGAATCCTCTCTTGTTACTGTTCATTTCCCTCATTTTTAAATTTTCACTTTAATCCGTCTTAAACTCTTGGTTCAGAATTGCGCTGCCCGTGACTCCCCTGCCTCACATGAAAGTCTCCTTCACTCTCACACTAGCAAGTGCTTCTCCTGCCCAAGCTCTGATTCCCTTCTTCTCACGGAGGCTTCCAGCCTCCCCAGGTTCTGCCTCCCCTCATGTCCTGGCCTCCTCTTCCCCCTCTCCGGGCCTTCTCCTGCCTCCTCTGTCTTCTCCTCTCTGCCTTACATGATATCTTGTAACGAGAGTACTTACCAGTAGAGCTACCCGGCCTGATCTGCTAATTCCTCTGTGTAAACTCCTCTTTGTTTCAGAAATCGATAGAGATCAGCTGGTGACCATGGACTTTTCAGTGGTGTAAACTTTTTGGCCTTTCTCCAACTTCATATCAATAAAGTCATTGTTGTTTTAACGTCCTGGCTCTTGTTTTCTTCGTAGGGTCGTGGTTCTCGATCAAGGGACAAAAAAGGACAGGTTGGGTGAAAAAGCCATGATTTGACTCCATATGTTCTGTACTGTTCAGCTTTATAAGAAGCTCAGATTTTAATAATTTTGTAAGAACTTAACTACCACAAGTATTCCAAAGCAAAAAAATTCTATTCTTGAGATTAGTAAGGGACTTTGTCAAATTTAATCATCAAGCCACACACCCTTTTTTCAGCTTATACACAGAGATAATTACTTTGTAAATTTCCCTTTTCTCTGTCAGCCTTTCAATGCATATGTGCCGTATTATATTTATGCCTGGGATTCAAGAATGCCTCTGGGACCTGTTTGGAGACATGTCCTTTTGGAGACAGAATCATCATCCAGCCTTCAATCAGACAAGCTTCCCTTTGGTTTAGGGACATACAGATATTCCTCAATCACAGCATTTAGCTGTTACATGTTGACTTTATTTCTTCTACATATGTGCATTTGCAGAAATAATCTGAAGTAAAATCTGCCAAAACTAGGCAAAGTACAAAGGCAAGTGAGCGTTATGAGTTGAATTATGTGTTCCAGATATTCATATGTTAAAGTTCTAATCCTACTATTTCAGAATGTGACCTTATGTGGAATAGGGTCAATACAGACGTAATTTGTTAAAATGAGCTCCTATGGGAGTAGGGTGGTCCCCTAATCCAATATGACTGGTGTCTTTATAAAAAGGGGAGGTTTGGGGTTAATATCCAAAAATACATAAAAAACACACAATTTAATGTCAAAAAAATTAACTATCCAAATAAAAAATGAGCAGAGGAGTTGAATAGACATTTTTCCAAACAAGACATACAGATGGCCAACAGACACATGAAAAGTTGCTCACCATCATTAGTCATCAGGGAAATGCAAATCAAAACCACAATGAGACATTGCTTTAAACTTCTCAGAATGGCTAGTATCAAAAAGACAAGAAATAACAAGTGTTGGCAAGAATGTGGAGAAAACGGAGCTTCTGTATACAGTTGGTGGGAATATAAAGTGGTGCAGACACTATGGAAATCAGTATGGAGCTTCTGCAAAAGATTAAACATAGAACTACTACTATATGATACAGAAACTCCACTTATGTGTATTTATTTGAAGCAAATGAAAGCACCAATTTGAAAAGATATATGCACCTCTATATTCACTGCAGCATTATTTATAATAGCCAAGATATGGATGTTAAGTGGGTTAAAGGATGTGGTACATATATAAAATGGGATATTACCCAGCCATAAAAAGAATGAAATCTTGCCATTTGTATAATATGGATGGACTTAGAAGGCACTGTGCTAAGTGAAATAACAAACACCACATGCTTTCACATATGTGTGGAATCTAAAAAAAAAAACAAAGGAACAAAACAAAACAAAACAGAAACAGATGCATAGATACAGAGACCAATCTAGCTGTTGCCAGATGGGACAGTGGTGGGAGGATGGGTGAAATAGGGGAAGGGAATTAAAAGGTATGAACATCCAGTTTTAAAACAAATAAGACACAGGGATACAATATACACATAGGGAATATAGTTAATATGCAACATCTTTGTATGAGGACAGATGGTAACAAGATTTATCACTTTGTAATGTATGAATGTTGAGTCGTTCTGTGGTACACCTGAAACCTAATATAATATTGTGTATCAACTACACTTCGATTAAAAAAAAATGACCAGAAAAATAGATACATTTTTTTAAAGTGAGAAATTCGGACACAGACATGCGCACAGAACACTATGAGCAGATGAACACAGAGACTGCGCTGATGGAGTAGAAGCTGGAGGACCCCAGTGACCACCAGCCCACCACCAGAAGCTGGGAGAGAAGCCTGGAGAGAGTTTTCCTAAGCCCTCAGACTGGACCAGCACCTTGATCTTGGACTTGAAGTCTCCAGAGCGATGAGAAATTTCATTTCTGTTATTTAAGCCACTCCGGTTGTAGTACTTTGTTAAAGCCACCTTTGCCGACTAAAAGTGAAGAAATTTACTTACCAGGTATTTGTAATGAATGCCCCATGTATTCCTCTACCTCCAAAGGCTCCTCCGAGTGGAGATGTGTTTGAAGCAAATGAAAGCACCAATTTGAAAAGATATATGCACCTCTATATTCACTGCAGCATTATTTATAATAGCCAGAGAGGTGTTAGAGGAAAGCATCCCTGGTTGGCGCTCAATATAGTCAGGAACTGTGCCTAACCTGAAAGCTCTTTGCTTCTCCAAATGTCAAAATTTGGTTATACTTAAGGGGAGTCACATGTGTGAATGCAGATGATCTGGAAGATGCACTGTAAAATTAGGTGATGATAAAAATGAAAGTTTGAAGGGACGTTTCTATTAGGATATAAATATTTGCTTTCAGTATTGGTATTAATGAGAAATGGATAGGTTAAGGTAACAGAACAGAGCTCCCACATTCACTGCCAGGCTCAGCTCTGGAATGAGATCTAGAAATGGCCTTTGCCTTGGAAGCAGAAATAATCTCTGGTTATTCTGGCTTTGTCTGTACCTGGATCAACTTTCATACAGTTTCTGAAGTAATGTGACCATTCTGTGGATGGATCAGGTGCATTTCAAGATGAAAAATATATGAAGATATCTAAACCTTTAGATACTTTTGGGTAGAAACTTTTAAAAATGACTTGGGTGAGGATTCAAGAAGACAGTAACAGCTTTCATTTTACAGGCTAAGGGCTCTAGGTGTGCTTTTTCCCAATTGTCCATTATTTATTGAACGCATAGGGAAAAAAGTAAATAATAAAAACCAACTTCAAAATAACACTAGACACTAAAGATAATTGACAAAAATTTACTAGATAATGGGTCATTTCAATCAAAATACTGGACAGCAAATCTCATGGCTTCACATCCAAATCAATAGTTTTCTATGATACAAGACTAGCAAATAGGCAATAACATTCATAAATGAGCTGCTTAATGTCATGCGTTGTTTCCAGAAAGAAATGCCCAAACTTGGTTTTCCTGGTTAAAAACCGCATGCCTAACAATATTACCTCCAGTCCAGAGCTCTGCTCTATTCCCCAGTTCTCCTCCCTGATACAATCCAAAAGAATGTTCCCCTAGCCCACCGGAAGGAAATTCCAGTTTGCTCACACTAAAATAAATCTCTTCATAAAGAGGTAGTCCTCATACAACAAAATGTTATACAAGTAAGTATATCCCAGTTTTGACATTCAATATTCTTTGACAGTTTTGATATTTTAAAATGTCAATACATACATTTTTCAACTGAAGGTCTCATCAGGGTATCTTCACAAACCAAGCCTGCTGCAGTCCTAGTGGGCTAAAAGCAGACTTAACGTGTCTTTTGTGGAGAAATAGCCTTTAATAAGCAATACATAGTTCTATTTGGTCTTTAGCCAGCCTTACGGAAACTTTCTATACAAACTGTTTTTCTTTCACGCTTATGGAGTGTCTTGCTGTCACTGACCTATTATCCTAAAATAATTTTTGAACTCACTGTGACAATATTTAGTTTCATCACAATTTATGTCTCAATCATGATTATAATCTATTAGTTTTTGCTATATTCACAGAATTGCATAACAGTTGACTAAAAACTATCACCTGATTGAGTCTTTCTAAAGGGATGACCTGAGAAGAAACATGTAGCTAAGACTATGAGGATGAGCCAGCCACTTTTCTTTGGGATACAAATAACAGTAAGATACTGTTACAGGTGTTCTGTCTGAATTAGTCTTACAGTTTTGCATCTGGAGAAAAGGATTTAGAACTAACTATGAAAATTCTCCCCTCAAAATTTATTTTTGGATATTAACTTCTATATGTTCTAAAGCATGTTTTTAAAAAAACTGAAGGGAGGGAGAAAGAGAGAAGAGACAAGGAGACAAGCAAAATCAGCTTTCCATAAGATTTCCTAGGTTATGATTACAAGTATATTAAATGCACTTTTAGAGTAATTAACTATATGAAATCAACATTAGTGCAAGAACTGAAAATAATTAACAAACATCCTGTCTTCTTTTGTCCTAAGAAATGCTGGTTTGTTTTCAGACCTGCTGATGTTGTTAGAAATGTCTTCTTTTTAAGATATACTTTATTTTCCATAGCACCCTTAGAGATGCTTGCTTTAATTTATTGTTCCCCAGAATTAGGATAAATGAATGGCTTGAAGGATAGATTAAAGCGATCAACTCACCAATCGTCACAGCTAATTCAGTCTCTGGCATAAAATAGCTAGAGGTGGCAATGAGAAAGGCTAAATAGTAGACCAGGAAAAGGAGGAGGAAGGAGATGATAGCTTTCATGGCTCCCACGTGAGCTTCTATGTTGGGGTCTCCTGTAGCACTGAGCTGCATCTGCCTTTTATGTCTCCACAGGGAGAAAATCAAGAGGAAAAATGAGATCAGGGACACAGACAAGGGGAATAGCGTCAACAGGTTAAGACATATCTTGATGGAAGCGTATTGACCTTTATTTACTCTGCATCTCAAAGTCAAGTTTCTTTTCCACTTTGCCTTGACACAACCCCTGAAATCATCATTCAAATTATCAATGACAGGAAGGCTAATAAACACAGAGAGGGCCAAGCAGCCCAGCAGGATCCTAGGAATCACACTGCCAATTCTCCACTTCATCCAGAGGAAAAGGGGATGGAAGAAGTTAGCTATCTTGAGGAAATAGAAAATGCTGAGGCAGGTGGCAAACCACACACTTAGATGGTTGGTTAGTGTCCAGAAGAAGTCAATGATTCGCATTTGTTTACCGGCAGTATAGATATCAGGATACAGCACCAAAATAAAACAATCAAGTAGTATTATACATAGTAGACAAATTCTGGATATGGCCAGACTTGTGAGGATTAAATCAATGGAGGCAATCTTCCTCTTCTTGATCCAGTCCATGAAATTTACCACTGCAATGAATACATTCCCGAAGATTCCCATGGAAAATTCTACAGCTGCTATGAGCATTAAGCTATTCTCCACTGTATCTGGCATGTTAAAATACAGAAATGTCCAATTCGTTTTCTAGTTGAACTGATGTCGTTGGATATCGTTGCCTCCTTCTTGGACTTTGCTGTAATTTTCTTTGTCTCTTTTATTGCAGTCTGTCTTGTGATGGAGACTGGAGTGATCAGTGAAGACTGTAGTTATCTTCATCAAATCCTAATTAGTCTCAACAAGCAATGTGATTGGTGATCCCTGGTCTAGCTGCTCTAGGTCTTTTTACCTTCTCAGCAGGTTTTACTTTTCCATATATGGTTAATTTAGGCAGAACTACATTTTAAGATGCAAATTAGGTCTATTCCCTTTCACGGTCCTGCACTGTCTTCCTAAAGCTGTGTTTAGAAAATTTTGCATTCATCAATCTGCTGGTAACCTCGATAGGGCTGCTAGATAGAGCAAATAAGAATACAGGACACCCAGTTAAATTTGAATTTCAAATAAACAATGAATGATTTGTTTAGTGTATGTCCCCAATTGCATGAGATTAGTACTTCCAGAAGTACTGAAATTCAAATTTAATTGGGTGTTCTGTGTTTTATTTGGCAAAGCTAAGCTTCAAGGATTTTCTAGCATTTGTAAAATGGGTAAAAATTGAAATTTGTAGAAGAATCTTCATTTTGTTGAATGATAATAATTGATCACTACTAAAATTCTAAAGTTGGATTAACATAGCCGTATATTGTCAGGGAATTTTGAAAGTTAACACTAAATGTGATTATCTGGTTCTAAAAATATTTTAGCTCATTTTTCCTAGTTGTTCAGATGAACAATTATAGGGCACAAGGTCTGTTAAAATAGCGCATTGTCTAATTAATCAAATGACATTTAATGGTCATTTAGTTTGTGATGCTATGTATAGAATGATGAAAGAGTCATGAACAAAGAACAGTATTGATCGCCCTTAGATTTTTCCTTTGCATTTAAGGTGCTCTAAAAGACAGTTGTGCATATGAAAGAGGAGAGTAAAATCCTATTTTCATTCTGCTTTCCACCCCCTTACAGTCTGTTGGGGGGAAAGAAATTACCTCTACTCATCAAGGTACTTCCAGCTGGTCTCAAGAATCAAATTGACATGAGACAGATGAACAGGAGGAAAAAAAAGCCCAAGTCTATTTACATACATGCAGGTACATTTTCTTCTCCACAGTGTCCTGGTTTAAAACATGCCCACAGTGACTATGATAATAATACCTTTACCTAAGTAAGTTTTAGACTAAAAAAAATTTTTTGGTGATATACATAGCACTGTTACACAGCATGGATGCTAACGGTTCACTTACTATAAAAACAGTATGAAAGTTCCTCAGAAAATTAAAAAGATAACTACCATATGTTCCAGCAACCCTGCTTGTGGGTATTTATCCAAAATAATTGAAAATGACCTAGAGGAGATATTTGCACCCTCATGTTTATTGCAGCATTATTCACAATGGCTAAAATATGGAAACAACCTAAATGCATATTTACAGATGAGTAGATACAAAATATGGCAAATACAGAACTAATAATACAAAAAATATTATTCAGTCGTAAAAAATAACCATAGTATACAAAAAGGTGGAAGAGAAATGAAGTCACAGTTTTCAGGGTTCCCACATGGGCCTCTGTGCTGGGGTCTCCAGAGCTCAGATGAAACTGGGAGTTTCATTTCCTTGGCATGTCTCCATAGGGCCCTAATTAAAAGGAAAAATGAGATTAAGTGATGCAGTTAATGGGACAATCCCCAAGAGGGTAAAGAGAGTCAAGGGGTTGAAGTATCGCGAATGTTACTCACATGGAACATTTCAGTGAAGTTCCTACTATGTACTGCAATTGTATGAAACTCACAGTCATAACTAAGTGTCATTGCTAGTGTGAGGCTGGCCAAAGAGGACACGGCCAAAGACCCCAGCAGGACCAGGGCACCACCCTGCCTATTCTCTACTTCAGCAAGAGAAAAAGTGGGTGGAGAAATTGGCCTTCTCGAGTAGATAGAAGATGTTAAGGAGGGGGGCAAACCACGTACTTAAGTAGTGGGTGAGTGTCCAGAAAATATTAATGATACTGATTAGTTTCTCACCTTCATAAAAATCTGCATAGAGTACCAATATGATGCCATCAAGTATCATTACACTGAGCAAAGAATTAAGGCAATAGCTAGACTGGTGAGGATGTAGTCTGCTGAAGAGATCTTTGTCTTCTTAATCCAGTCAATCAGTGTATCAGTCTGATGCATACATTCCCCAACATTCTTATTATGAATTCTCCAGGTACTATGATCAGAAAGATATTACTGAGCATGCTGATAGAGAAAAATGCCCAGATATCAAGTATCATGGCAGATGGGCTACCTTACAGAGGACCAGTTGGAGCCTGATGAAAAAATTCTTCACATCATGGAACAGTGTTTTCCGCTGTCATTATTTTGACTTTCACATCATTCCTGAGGTTCCCAGCTCTCCTCTGAAGTAGGATTGCTTCTACATTCCTGAAGACACCACCTGATCGCTCCAGACAAGCAGCTTGACTAGCTCTGAGCCTGGGCAAAGGATAATTATCACCCTTTAGCGAGTGATAATTGAAATGTTAGGTAGAAACTCTCTCATGCAAATTAAGAGATTATATTTCATAACTCTGCAGTAGGCACTTTGCTGTTAAATTCTGCATACTTGGATCTGTTGAGTTTCGAATAGGTAACTGCAAAAATCAAACAAAAGCAGGTGTTAATACAAATCAAGATGTGTAAATAAAGCCTCATTTTAATCACAGTAAGTTATAAATTACTCATAAATCAGGTTTCCTAGTGGAAATGGGTTTTAGTTTTGGAAATGATCAGTGCAATTAGATGGTAGAAAGTTAACATTCAATTACAGGATAATAATTTTTGTTTTCATGTGCATAGTTAATTAGAGAAGGATACGATGAAAATCTAGTTATAAATGGCTTAGTGTTATTAGGCAGGTACATGGTAATATTTACTGCAAATTTGCTCTCTGTGCAGGTGTTTATTAAAAGTCAAAGATCCTTAAAGATAAAGATTTGTTATCATTAGTTCTATTTAACATGGGAAATGTCCATAACAGTTCACTTCCTGAAACATTGTCTCTTGGATAATTAACATTTTCATCTAAAATTAAGGAAATTCATGCTTTCCAATATGCTTGTTATAATTAACACCTTTTATAAAATTCATGATCTCACATTCTACATTGTAGCTATTTCTCTGAATAAGGCAGTCACCTTAATATTTTTTTTTTAACTAAACAGTACTTTCAGGGCATAGAACTAATTTTACTATTAAATTGATTTATTCTTTTTTGGGGGGGAGACTTAGCCTACAATGAAATAGAATCAAGGTAATAAAATCACACAAACTACAGTTCTTCATTCTCTCTACTACTTGATTTTTATAAAAAATATTATCTTTCTACATATAAATCAAGTATAAAAATCAAATGAATATTCATATTTGACCTGATTGTTCATAGTTCATAATGCATGATCAAAACCTAAAGTTTCTGTGACAACTGCCCTTGTACTGTTCACCATGTAAGAACTTATTCACTATGTAAGAATTTGTACACCATGTAAGAACTTGTTCGTTGTGCTTCAGAAGATCCGAGACTGATGAGAATTAGAGTTGGGGTGGATTAATGATTGTGCATAGAGTCCCCTGTACAGAATTTTATTGTTGTTAACTGTTAACAACCATTTGATCAATAAATATGAGAGATACCCTCTCAAAAAAAAATTATCTCTACTATACTTTCATTTATTACATTTGTTTATTTATGTCATATTTAAAATATGTCTTTTGACTCCTTGTTATTATAGATTATACAACCAGTGAACTTCTAAATTCTGCCTTCTTTCTGTCCTGCTCTTAAAATTTTTTTAAATATACTATTTAGTACATTTTCTTGGCCCTTAAAGTATACATTCAGTTTTGTCACCCAAAACTCCATATTTGCTTTAGTTCTCTGGTCATATATATGTAAGAAATTAATGCCAATTCTTTCACCTTAAATTTCCAATCATCTCTCAGAGTGAAGATAATAAAGATTTTTGAGGTTTTGAATTTCTTAAAATTTTTGTGGGGAGTCTTTGGATTTGAAGGACAAGTTGGTTGGATATTAAATTTGGGGTTACACCTTATTTCCTTGAGGATTAAAAATATTTTAATATTGAATGTTTTTAAAAAATTGTATTCCAGCTGATTAATCTGAGATTAATCATATTTTTAAAACTTTTATAGATTACTTGATTTTTTTAATCTGGCTGACCCAAAAATTCTTCTATTAGTACATGCCTAAATATTGACTATTCTGGGTCTATTATACCTGTACTGTGGCTTCTTAAAATATATTCTGTATTTTATTATTTCAGGAATTATTTATTGAATTATACATTTAAATATTTGTCATTTTCAATTATTTTACTTTTCTGCTTTTGGAAATCCAATTATCAACATGGTGTATCTCTTTTAGTTATTGTAGATAACTAATATTTTCACCCGAATCCTTTGGACTCTCATCTTAGTTCTGCTTCATTTCATTGCTTGTCTAATTTGCAGCCTATGTCGCTTACATTTTCCACTGTACTTATGGGCTCGCTGTATCCTAAGTTTTATTCTGTGATGGTTTTGTTTTTTCTTCTCTTTCCTGAGTTTTATCAGTTTAGGGTAAATTCTTGAATTATGGCTTTGTAGTAGTTCTTCACAGAGATGATTCTTGACTAATTCTTAAAAAAATCCATAGTGAGTTTTGCCTACAAGTTTCATCTACCCCATGTCATTATTTATCTCATGAGTGTTTAATGCCTGCTACTGTAATAGCTTTTTAATGAGTTTCCCTTCTATTTTTCATATTTATCTTTATTGAGATGGTGTGACAATGTTATTGATAATTGAATGAGTTGCATTTTCTTGGAGTAGCTATTTGCATGTTGTCCCTATAGTTTTTTTTCATGATCCAAAAGCTACTTTTTCTTCTGTTTCTTCAGAGACAGACTAGGTTCCACCAATAGAGTTGACTTAGATGATGTTTAATACCTTCTCACCTTCTTTGTTGCTCTTGATGAAACCAGGCTTAGGAGAGTTTCCATTACCAGCTCTACTTATGCCAGTCCCTGCAGCCTGTGATACAAATAAGGGACAGAGCTTTTGCATTTCAGCACGTGTCCCTCAGACTCTGTATGTGTGTTTTGGCTGTTGCTTTTTGGGTTTTGCAGCCTGCTTCTCAATCTCTGTGCTTCTTTTTCCTCCTTCACCTCCTCTACTTCTTCCCAGACTTTTGTCCATTTGTAATCATTTTGTCACCTCCTATATGTACTGTAGAGTCTACATATATGTATGTTTCCTGATTTCACCAATATTTTTCTTTTCTCTTTGATTTTTGTTGGTTTCTAGAATAAGAGGAAAATATCAATTTATACTATTAGTGTAAATTGTATATATGCTTGTTTTTCCTATGTAATCAAAGTAGAAGCATAAGCCATAGGATAGTCTAGTGTATAAAAGAGAAAGGTTTAAAATATGCTTTAGAAAGCATAAGTAAATGCATTTTATTTTGCATCTACATAACTAGAAGGAATTGTCATCAGTGGATATCTATAAAAAGAAAGAAAGAAAGGAGGTAACTCCATAAGAAAATGAGGAAAGAGAAACATTAAACTGTAATACTGTCAGTAACGACACCCTTAGTATCGTTCACAGAAAAGAAGCACTCCGAGTCTCCTGGATCCCCCCACTGCCCTCGGATGAAAGCCCAGACCCCTTGGCCTGCGTCCAGGGCCTTTCAAAATCGAAGAAAATGAAGAACCCTGGTTCATGTGACTTTATTACCTGATTCAATCTCATTGTAGGCTAAGTCTCCCAAAACAGAATCAATCAATTTAATAGTAGAATTAGTTCTATGCCTTGGAAGTACTGTTTGATAAATTTTTTAAGGTGACTGCCTCATTCATAGAAATAACTACAATGTAGAATGTGAGATCATGAATTCCATAAAAGGTGTTAATTATAACAAGCATATTTGAAAGTGTGAATTTCCTTAATTTTAGATGAAAATGTTTATTATCCAAGAGACAACGTTTCAGGAAGTAAATTGTTATAGACTTTTCCCATGTTAAATAAAACTAAAGATAAAATCTTTATTCAGTATCTTTTACCTTTAATAAGCAACTGCATAAAGAGCAAATTCTTAGTAAATATTACCATGAACCTGCCTAACAAATGACAAAATAGAAGATAAGTAATTTTTATTTCAGACTGTAATTTTAATATACAGATGCTTTAAAAATGTACTGAGTTGATAGCATTAATTGGAACCTCAACTTAGAAAAATATATTTTTTAATTCTCAGAGAAAGTAACAAAATACAAATGAAGTAGTCAATCTTTCAGAAATATTTTAGAAAAAATAAGATGTCATGAAAACACTGTAAATTTGTGTACTGTGGCTGAAAATAGAGTAGATTTAATCAAAGATTTTATATCAAGAATTTATTTGGAAAATACTGAGATTAAATGCTACAAATTTTTATTTACCAAGAAACTTTTCTGTAGAGAAACTGAGTGTTCTAAGAATAGAACATAAACACAATAGAATGGAAATAATCAAAGAGCCTCATTAGTTTTAGCTTTATTTGAGATGGTTGGATAAGAATTTCATCTATTGCTTTTTTATATTGATTAGCCCAAGTTTTCCAGAGTTTATGAGCTAACAGAATATCTGAAATAAAAAGGTTTTCATTAGTGTAGTTGTACAATAAAAAATATGGTAATTAAAAAAATAAAATTCCATTAGATATCCATCAACCAACTTGGTTTACCCAGGATGTTATATAAATGTTATCATTTCTGTATCTGTAAATATATGACCAAGAGTGTTAGCACTATTGTATAGAGACACTTTAAAAAAATTCCCATCTTAACATATTAAGTGAAATAAAAAACAATCAAAGACAGAAATTTAAAAGCTTCCAGACAGAAAATATAAACCCTTATAAAGATTCAGAGGGATTTCACACTTCTGTGTGAAGAAGGCAAGAATTAATGGCAACACTATAATGAAGAAAAATAAGTCAAACTTCATGAAAACAGAATAATACAAAAGCCCTTTTTGAAATATGTAATAAAAAAAGAATGTCTTGAAATCAATATTTAGGCAGAATATAGGTAGTTTTGAATATATTTACTTAAAAAAAAGAAAAATTGAAAAAAAGCTTAAAAAGAACAACCAACTTTTGCTTTCAAGAATATGGCAAACCAGATGTCTGAAGAAATTCCCCTAGTGCAGAATATGGAAAAGTATGGAAAAAAAGTCTTCAGCATTATTTTTAAGTGCTTGGCCCAGCTGTCGGGAAAGTTAAAAAAAATCCTCAGATGCCAAAAATGGTGAGAAAGTGCCAATTTTGAGAGAGGATAAGTGTTGAAAACAAAGGTTTTGGAGCATTTTCAATATCCTGAAACTAGAGCTCAAGTTTTAAAGGCATGTGGCTAAGATGTCTAGCTTGGGCTTTTCCAAGGTTGGAAGTGAGATTGGGTATTTTGGGCTTTTTGAAGACTGGAAGTGAGATTGGGTACTATCAATAAACTAGGATCGCTTGAAAGGCAATTCCTTAAAGCAAATGAAAAAGTAATACACACCCAGCAAAAGGTTAAAATCAGGGGCACTTACCTCTCAGTCATGACACTGAATTAATGAAAGAATGTAAGGAGATTTCTTATTCTGAGAACTTCTAGCAATAGTCTTACTCATGTATACATGGGACCAGAATTTGTACTACCCATGTAGTCTAAAATTCACAAACTAACAATTTAATTTAAAGAAGCCCAAAACAGGAGGTGTCCCCAGTCAGCCTTGCAAGCAAAGTAAATCCTTTCTGGCAGAGTACACTGTAAACCTGACCTCAAAGAATTCCCACATAATGTTCTAATGAAACTGAGTCCAAAATAGAATCATAAAATAGGTGACAAGCAAGAGTCATTATCAAGAGTCCGTGCAAACAGTAAACTAGTAAATCATCAGACCTGACAGGGCAGCAGACATTAGAGTCAGTACTTACACGGTGATGAAAACTCTGGGGAATGCTCTTTTCATCATTTCTCAGGGAAAGTTAACCAAACAGATTTTATGTACTTTGCCTTTTATTTAATCCTATTTTCCCCAATTATATTAATTATTGCATAAATAATAGAAAATTTAGGAATTTACAGAAGAAGAAAATAAAAATCACCTACAATCCTACAATTCACATGCAAGGGACTTATCCATCCAGTTTATATATAAGTGTAATTAAAACAGATTTTTAAGCAATATACCTATGTATCTGTACCTATCTATTTTGAAATTTATCTCGACATCTATGAAGGAACATGTTAACAGTAATTAGCTGAATGTTACAAATATATGTATCTTAATTTCTTCCTCATATATTTCTGTGTTTTTTCATTTTAGGTGTAATGAAGCTGTTTTGTAGTCAGGAGAGTGGATTTATTGGTAAAAGAAATGTGTTTAAATAGAAGTAAATCAAAATTTGCAAAAGTAGCAGTAGTAGAAACCAAAAACAAATGGATGTGAATTCATATAAATTACAAACCTATTTCCCTAACCAACACAAACCAAGTTATTTACTAAACAGCAATTTAAGAAGAAATAAAAAATCATAACACATACATATGGCATAATGTTAATATATAAAGTATCAAAAAATTGGTAAAAAAAACTTATAAAGCATAAAAAATAAGAAACAAAACAAATGAACAATTCCCCAAATGATAACCCATTGGTTAATAATTCTGTAAAAATGCTAAAATGCTTCACTAGTAACCAAATATAAACCAGTTAAAAAAATGCTTTGTGATCAAAGTAGTGATATTATAAATAATAACCCTGAATGATTTTGAGATTGGAATAAGAAGGGGAATTTTTAATATTCAAATATTAGTAATATTAGTTCCCTATTTCTGCAGAGCAATTTATCAATTCTACAAGAATTTATCAGATTCCTTCTTATTGGAATTTCCCTTTAAAATAATTTAAAATACCACACTTTCTATATATTAGCCCATACTGGACTTTCAGTTTCTGGAATGCTCTCTATTCCTTCTTGTTTCAAGACCTACATGCTGTTTCCCACCCTCTCTCCTGCTCTGCCCAGTTACTCGTGCATTAGTCAGACCTCAAAACAAACCATCTCAACCTTAGTGCCATTTTCAATACTCCCAGGCCCGTAAATATAATTGTTTAAATTCTTGTTTGCTATTTGTTTTTCTATTAGAATATCTTACCATTATAGAGTCTCTTGTTCAGTACCATATGCTCAGTACCTAGTAGTCAGTGTTCAAAAAATATTTATTGAATGAATCAAGCTCTTATATTTAGAAAACTTCTAGGCATCAGGCCCTAAGTGTAAGGTCAATGCACTTTTGCTGTCAAAATAAATCACTCAACTCATACCTGGCATAAATATTTACTTTAAAATTAGCATTTAAAATATGTCTGTGAGTGTATTTGTGTGTATGAATGTGTGTGTGTGTGTGTGTGTGTGTGTGTGTGTGTAAGAAGCCCTGAAATAGAACATTTCATATTTCACACTGATTCTATCCTGGGTTCAGTCTTGTGTCCCTAGGTGTTATTAGTGACCATGTTAGGTCCATTTTTTTTTTATTGAAGTGTCATTGATATACAATCTTCTGTTGGTTTCAAATGTACAACACAGTGGTTCAATAGTTACCCACATTATCAAATCCTCACCCCCTCTAGTGTGGTTACTATCTATGTAGAAAAATGTTACATAATCATTGACTGTATTCTCCATGGTGTACCACTGTCCCTGTGACCAGCTTGTATTGTGATTGCAAATTATTGTACCCCTTTATCCCCTTCACCCTCCCCTCCCACCGGCCCCAGTCCCTCTCCCTTGGTAACCACTAGTCACTTCTCAGTGTCTATGAGTCTACTGCTGTTTTGTTCCTTCTGTTTTGCTTTGTTTTTATATTCCACAAATAAGTGATATCATATGATATTTGTCTTTCTTCATCTGGCTTATTTCACTGAGCTTATTTCTCTCTAGCTCCATCCATGTTGCAAATGGTAGAATTTGTTTTCTTTTTATGGCTGAATAATACTCCATTGTGTATGTGTACCACATCTTCTTTATCCATTCCTCTACTGATGGACACTTGGGTGTTTCTATATCTTGTTTACTGCAAATAGTGCTGTGCCATGTTGAGTCCTTTGAATCTATACTTGTACCAGAATCTTTACTCAACTTTAATTAGTTCATGATTTTGCTTCATTTCAAATCAGTACATTTGAAGACTATAAAGACTCATTTCATCACACACCAGCAAGAAGAAAAAAAAAAGAACATTAAGTTTAAACAGTAACAATGCAAGTGATCGATTAAGAAAGGAGCCCCTCTGTCTGTCTCTCACATCCAAGTTCTAAATGTCAAGGCTGGTCATAACATTCCTTGTCTTGTTTTTTTAACTTTGGCCGTTTTGGTGAAAGGCTGTCAACGCTTCAGGGAATACAGGTAAAGCACAGTGAAAAGTCTCCCCTTACATATTTATTCTCACCATCACCATCTTAACAGTGAAGAATCTTCAAGCTGTTTTTCTTTTGGGAGGAATGTGGGAAGAAACTGGAGGGTGGGGAAGCTGACTGTGCCACTGAATTTGCATGTAGGATTACAATCTTGTTGAGGAGTGAAATATCCTGAGATGTAGTCAAAATAATTATGAAAGATGTTTGCAACATTCAGTTACATAGTTAAAACCAATGCAAGAATATGGTGCAAGTGCAACCAATTTTCAAAGGTTCGTTTACTAGATTATTCCCAGAAAACATCGATTTTGACAAACACATGTCTGTGGAGCTCTGAGCGGCATCCCTTTGTCACAGCACTTGAATTGCTGCAATATCATCAAAGAGGCCTGCTGTAGCGTGCTGCTGCCAAGAATTAGGATAAATGAGTGGTGGTCCCAGGGATAGACGGCTGTGGTTGTCACAATAAAAATAAACAGCAGTTTTCTGTCTGGTACAGTAAAACATGGTATTTCTATGGCAATGCCTATAAAATGGAAGGTAAAAAGGGTGATAAAAGATATCAAAACTTGAATTGCTTTCATACATGCTTCTGTGCAGGAGTTTCTGAATCCTGTGGCCTTCAGTTGCATCTGCCTGCTCTGTCTCCAAAGGGAAATGTTTAACAAGAAACATGGTATCGAGGACAGTGTAAAGAGGAAAATGACTCCTAGATTAAGCAAAAGCTGGTTAGTAAAGAATTCACTTTTATGCATGGTCAGCTGCCAGGTTGTGTTTCTATTCTTCATTCTATAGTCAATCATAATCTTCACGATTTGTGGAAAAGTCAGTAACCATGAAATAAACAAGGATCCCATGAGAAGGGGGAAGAACCCTATTGATTCTATCTTTCAACCAGAGAAAAATATGGTGGGAAAATTTTGCTATCTTCAGGAAATAGAAGATGCTGAGGCTAGGGGCAAACCAGGCACTTGATTGATTGATAATTACCCATAAGTAACTAATATATTCAATTAGATTACCAGATGAATACAATCTGGAGAGAGTATCTTTATAATTGCATCCATAATTATTATTCATATCAGACAAATTCTGGAAGTAGCTAAGCCAGTGAAGATAAAACCAGTCATAGAGAACTTCTTGCTCTTCACATAGTCAATGCAGTTTACAAGTCCAATAAATCCATTCCCTAAACCCCCGAGTATTGATTCACTAACAGCTATAAAAATGAGGAGGCCTTCCACTGTACTTAATATAGCCGCCAATTCCTGACACTGCTTCTCATCTATTTTAGATTACTTGCTGCAGAATGAGGCAAATGTGAAAGAATGATCTTATTCTCTTTCATTACATAAAGACTTAAAAGTGCCCCAATAATACATTGTGATGGAATCTGAAACATCTTATGGAGACCCCGTCAATTACATCTATAAAACTTAGCTAGTCTGGAGAAGGTTTATCCAGACTGAATACCCACCTACAATTTGTGAAGATGCAAATGAAAGTTTCTGTTTCATAGATTTTATTGTCCTCCTGAGATTATTTTGCATTTGTTAACCTGAGTTGTCAAGCAAGAGGGCCAAATGTGTTCACAACTCTGGGCATGGTAAATTTCACTAATATTATCTCACAAAATTGTTGCTGTGTTTTTAAACTCATAGTTATTCCATCTGTGAATGCAGAAGATTATGTTCACTACTTTTGACTTAAAAGGCTCTTAGAAATAATCTCTTCATTTAGCATATTCCACTTTGAAGGCATCCATCATTCATTTATTCACAAGTATTTTACTAAGAGTCTAAATATACCAAGCTTTCTTCTGGCCACTGAGGAACTACAATGACAGGACCCCAAAGTTTGTGTGGTTCATGGAGCTTATATTCTAATAGAGGAGCCAGGCAGTCACTTGAGCAATGTATTGATCCACATTTTAAAAGTGAAATCTAACATTTATTGTGGCTTTAGTACATTCCCAGCACTGTGCTAAGCACTTTTTGGTATTATTTTTTTCATTTAAACTTCACAAACAAGCCTTTAATATAGGTACTATTATTATCTTTATTTAAAAATGAATAGAGGGAGCTTTAAAAGAGCCCCCATTTATGTTGGCACAACTCTTATGAATAAAATCACACAATGAAATATCAACAAGCAGAGGAACAGACTAGGAATGATAGGCAAAAAAACCCCAAAATAAACATGAACGGCAGCAAACTTAGATTTGACATGGATGGAAATATGGGAATCGACAGATAAGAATGTCCGTAGATACAACTGCTATGCATGTTTTTGTTTTTGAATAAAGGATGCAATTTCAAAGAGCAGCAATAAGGCACTATCAGAGAGAAGTGGGAATACTTAGGAACAAGACTTTTAGAAATGAAAAATATAATTATATTCAATGAAAATGGACTAAATACTCCAAGTAAAAGACTAATATTGGCAATCAGGATTTTAGAGCTCCAACAGTATACTGCTTACAAGAAATATGATTTAAATATAAAGACCTACACAAAGCTTGAAATTTAAATGATGGAAAAATAGAACATGCAAACATTACCCAAAAGAAACCTGGTATCATTATAATAATATATAAAATAGACATAAGGTAAGAAGTGGTTTTAGAGAGAAAAATGGAAGGAGTATTTTATAATATAAAATGCTCAGTTCAGCAGGAATATATTACAATCCTAAAATTCATGGACCAAATAATCAACAAACTTTTATAGAACTAAAAGGGGAAAAAACTCCAATCTATAATCATAATAAAGGACTGTAAAACATATGATTAAATAGCTCATAATGCAAAGGGACCAAAAGTCAATAAAGATAAAGAAAATCTGACCACCACAATTAACAAACTTAATGTATCCAACAGTGGAATATTTCCTATTCTTTTCAAGTACCTAGGGGCTATTTTTTACCCAAATGGACCACTTGTGAAGCCAAAAGAAAATCTCACATATGTTAAATGAGTAAAAACTTTCACACTATATTCCATTTCTAAAAAGGAATAAAATAAAATTCAATAACCAACATCACTAATTATTAGGAACCACAAATCAAACCACAATGAGCCATCATTTCACACTGTTAGAATGGCTATTGTCAAAAAGACAAGAAATACGTGTCGGCAGGGTTGTGGAGAAAAAGGGAATCTTTGCACACCATTGGTGGGAATGTAAATTGGTGCAAGCATTTTGGAGGTCCCTCAAAAAATTGAAAATAGAACTACCATATGATCCAGCAATCCCATTTCTGAGTATTTACCCAAAGGAAATGAAAACACTATCTCAGAAAGATATCTGCACCCCAATGCTCATTACAGCATTATTCACAATAGCCAAGATGTAGAAACAATCTAAGGGTCTATCAACAAATGGATAAAAAAGACACAAAATAGAATGTTACTCAGCCATGAAAAAGAAGGAAATCCTGCCTTTTGCATCACTATAGAAACAGAGAGTAGAATGGTGGTTACCAGAAGCTGTGGGATGGAGGAGATGGGGAGATGTTGGTCAAGGGGTACAAACTCCCATCTATAGAATAAATAAGATACGGGGTTTAATGCATAGCATGGTAACTATTACTAACAATATTATATACTTGTAAGTATTTAAGAGAATAGCTCTTCCATGTTTTCACCATACACATTTCTTTCATTATATGTGAAAGAAATAGAGAGTCCTGTAACACAGCCCCGAACCTGTGAACTCTTGACAACACTATCTCCAGGTAGATATCAGA